CACTCGTTCAGTAAATCCCCCCCTGCCTCCCCGGGGCGCTGGGCTGCCACTGCCAGGGCTGGCGGTTCCCTTTTAAGCCCCTGTGGATTACCCTGAGCTTGGGTGCATGCCAGGAGGGGTGGGAGGAGGAAGAGGAGGATGAAGAGGAGGCTGGCAGGCTGAGGACACAGGTGTCAACGCCCTGGGGAATTCACCTGTTCCTGAACACAGCCCCAGGGCTCCCTGAGCACCCACCATAGAGGTGATGGGTGGGCCATGCTCCCCAAATATCCCATCCCTCGGTGGCTACCGCTCCCCTGCCGTCACCTCCAAATGTGCGTGGGATGGTGGCCATGAAGGAGGTAGGGATCAGGGAAGGAGATGGGGAGGGTGGAAAGAAACAGGAGGAAGGTGGGAGGAGAGTGGTGGCAGAGCTTGGGGTTTTATTTGGTCCCAACGCGGGCTGCAGACAGAGGAGGGGCTGGGCTGCCTATGCCCCCTGCTCCATGAACCCCTCCACACGGCCCATCCCGATCATTCCAGCTGCTGCAAGAAGGCCAGGAGCTCGTGGTGCCACTCGCTTGGCTTGTCCAGGTAGCAGGCGTGTCCAGCACCCTGCAGGACCAGCACCCAGTGCTTGGGGAGGTGCTGCAGGTTGTTCAGGCTGGTCTGCCCCAGTTCCTTGTCCTGGTCCCCATACACAATCAGCGTGGGGGTCTGCAGAGGGGGAAATGCACCCTGAGCTCACTGGGGGACACCCTGAGACCAGGATTCAGAGGGGAGATACTTGCCCTTCTGCCCTACTCAGCACAACAAGGGGAAGATGAAGCTCAGACTCCTGTGTCTCCTAGTGTCCTCGTTTTCCCACCTGCTACACCACATTCATGTTCCCCTTTCCCAGTGGCAACAGGGTTTCTGGCCTGTTTGGTCTTTCCTTTGCCCAGCTTCAGTGCCAGGGTTCCCTCCTCACCATCCCCTCCAGTTCCCCCACCTCCCTCAATCTCCCTCCAGGCCGTACTTTGATCTGGGCGTACTGCTCTGCTGTGAATTTCTCGGTGCAGATGGGTGCCACTGGCACGTACGCCTTGAGCAGGTGGTTGTGCTGGAAGAGGAAGGGCAGGGAGTACATGCCGCTGAGCGATGGGCTGATCACCACAGCCGGACCCAAGTTCAGAGCTTCCAAAACCGCTTTCAGGAAAGATCCCGGCGCTGGCTGGCCCACGGGTGCCGGGGCCATGGCATCCTTCGAGCGCCCCAGCCCTGAGCCACAGGAGACAGAAGGTGCCCTGTCACTCTCTGCCGCCTCACCACC